CCCCTCCCCTCCCCTACTCTTCCTCCCTCCCTCTTCTGTCTCTCCACTTCTTCCCTTCCTGCTCTCTTTCCCCACCCCTCTCAACACTCCCTCATCCCCCCCACCCGCGACCCAAACCCAAGCAGCCGAATTTGGCGGGAATTGCCAACTGTTTTCATTACTGCAGATTTGAAGGAGGCCGGGCTTCCAGAATCTGCCTAGCAACCGATGATCTCACGGAAGGCCTTGCAGATAATTGGCTGTTTCCAGCAACCCGAGAACCCGAAGTAAAAGCTTCTATCTTCTTCTTTAACCTCCCCATCCCCATTTCCTCACCCCGAGTTTCATGGAAGACTAGAGTGCAGGAGGAAAAAAACCACCTATAATGTCCTCACTAATCAGCCAGCTGCCCGGAGAGCACGGGGTTATCAGGTTAATAAAAGGATAATAATCTAAGATCGATGTCACTTTGGAGAGAGGTCTCTGTTGGCGTACCTCAAGGATCTGTATAGTTGACCCAGTATTGTTCATCACGTTTTTTATCAGTGACTCGGATGAAGGCACAGAAATGACATGCCTGCCAGGTGTGCGGATGACAGGAAGCCGGGAGGGACAGCTAATAGCTTGGCTCACAGAAAAAGGATCCAAAAAACGTCTAGCCAGGCTGGATTCAAGTCCCTGACTTATAGCTGGCTGTGAGAGGACCAAAGTCAATCAGCCTCTCAGCATCCTAGGCAGCCCTCTGTAAAATCTCAGGTCTGGTCGAAACAAAGCCAACAACAAACAAGTGAAAACTGGCTGAATCCGACACAATCGCATGCACACACCTTTATGTATGACCAGACTTGTAATTCTATCGCATAGGACACATAGGACGTAGCCAACAAGAAAACTCTCCCCTACCAAAGCAGAGCTATCTAAACAACAGGTACTACTAGAATTTATAGTGTTAGAAAATTGCCTGGGGCACTGAAAATTTAAATATGGGTTTGGGAGAAAAGGTTGAGGGTAAAGGGGAAGGTAATGCAGATATCAGAGTGTAGCAAATAGAGATCTTATTCTTGGATTCAGAACTCTGTTCAGGTCTTTCCTGTGAGCAATCAAATGTAGCACAGATAAATATAAAGTCATACCTGGGTTCAAAAAATCAGTTGCAAAAGTGCATGATGGGGGAGGTGAAGATACATCACAGTCCCGATTTGGAGAGGGGAAGAGAGAGGAGCTCTAGGATTTTAATAGAATTCAAGGTCACTGTGAGTCAATAGTGTGAATAAAAAGCTCTTAGCCTGAATTAGTGTCCAGAATGATGGATATCATAATCAGGCTGTACCTGCATTGGGTACACCTGGCAATGAGCCCTAATGAGAGCACATCTTGAATATTGTGCCCTCTTCTGGTCACCACATTTTAAGATGGTCATTAATAAAACTTCTTAAGAATGAGAAATGTGCAAAAGTGGGACAGATGGGGGGGGTAATTAGCTCTCCATCACTGAAAGTCTTCAAGTAAAGGCTAGATAACTATTTTTCAGGAATGCTGTCAAGAGTTCTTGTTCCACTAGGACTTGGTCTAAATGACTTCCGATGTCCTTTAGAACCCAGAGAATCTGTGATTTGGTGTTTTAAGTGATGAAGTGAAAGTAGGAGATTTGATTTTGGAGTCAGGAAAATTGGTTTCTAGTTTCCATCATACAACTAACTAGCTTTATGCCCTTGGGCAAGTCATTCAAGGCCTTATTTTGAATTAAGTGATTTCTGAGATTCTTTCAAACTCTTACAATGTAAAACCCTATGATGAAAATTAACCTCGTTTTGTAATTTACCACCTTACCATCTCATAGGGAGACTCTATTGTCCTTCCAAAATTCCATGAAGGATTCTCTCTCATTTAGTATCTTACAGATTTTGCCCCTTCATTGTGATTCAACTGCTTCTTCCTCTTCACTCTGAATGGTCAGAGGCAGAGTGTGTCTAGGAGTCATATCTGCCAGAGATGACTCAATAGCCATAAGATTTAAGCACTGGGAGCTCCTAACCCCACCACACAAGTTCCTTAGCTTCGAAGTCTGGACTGACCCCAACAACATAGCCAGTAAAGTGACATTCAGGCCCTGCCCAGGTTTCCTTGTACCAGTCTTTCTCAATATCCTTCCTGTTCCTTCCATAACCTTTTCACCCACTTTGTCCCAACCCTCTGACTCATTGTTCCACTATTTTCTGATTTCCAGAACTTTGATTCTTTGATATTGAACATCCTATGCCCCAATTTTTGCCACTGTCCTCCTCCACTTGTTCTCTCTCTTCCTCTTACTCCAATAGAAAAGGCTTCTTCTACACCCCCAACCTTTCACCCTTGGAAAGCATTGGTGTCAAACTCAATTGGGGGCTATATATCCATACACAAGGAACTCTGTAGGCTGAATATTGACTTAGTTTCAAAATAAATTTTCTATGCCTTATTGTGGTTTTTTGTATTTTGTTAAACATTTCCCAATTACATTTTAACCTAGTTCAGGCAGCTCTCTGGAGTGTTGCTGGCTGCCTGCTGTCTGTGTGTTTGACACCTCCGCTGTAAAGGAAAGAATTCCAAGGGAAGATATGTTGAGGGTGTTTTGAATCTCACAAAACCACAACCCAGAGAGATTTCTTCCAGAGAAACTATAGGTTGAAGAACTAATATTCAAAAGTTCGGGCATTATTATTAGGAAATAGCACTTGTAATTTAGAAGTGATGAACTTGGGGCATTTGAGACTTATAACTTCTTCCCAGCTAGTTCATTCAATAAAATGTAACTAATTCTCAGAGTTCTAGTGTTGTCTGCTCTGTGTGTGTGTGATAATGATCTAATGCAAAGAGCCCTGAGATCAGGGTCTACTGACCTGAGTTCTAGTCATGGCCCTGCCATTAACTTGCTGTGAGAGGCTGAGAAAATCTCTCATACTTTCTGAAACTCAGTTACACAATATGTCAAATGAGGACTTTGGATTAAATTACTTCCCTTCTAGCTGAAATTCTTTGATTCCTAATGGAGAAGGGTCCAACATAAAAGCTACAGGGAGCTAAACAGAAACTTGGCCTGGGAACTATGAACTATTGGACAGTATGGGAGATAAAAAAAAAATGTACTTGGTCCTTATATCTGAGTGCCCTCCCCTTTGTCAAGAGAGCTCCCAATGCAAGTGTCGATTGAAAGAATAGGTAGTGCGGCTAAGATAGCAGGGAGGCAATGCCAGTTAGAGCCAGAATGATTTCTGAAATGGTCACTATTAGTGTAAAGGAAGGGGAGAAGAGGAGGAATTCTTAGAGTGTTTGCTGTAGGAACCAGTTCAGGGTAGAGCAATGTTGTTTTAAACTACTTCATTGTCCTAAGGAAGCTAGATGACCAAAAAGCTGGGCTGGACCAAACAGGAAGACCTGAATTCAAATTGACCTTAGACAAGCTATGTGACCTTGGGCAAGTCACTTACACAGTTTGCCTAGGTTTTCTCATCTGGGAATAAAAATAGCACTTATCTCTCAATGTTGCTGTGAAGATCAAATGAGATAAGATTTGTACTGGGCCTGTCACATAATAGGCACTATATAAATTCTTATTCTCTTCTCTCTTCTCCATTGTTCTGGGTCTAGATAAAATCAGTTCCTTGAAGAATGGAAGAGATTGGTGTTTTAGGGCTTCATACTGTGGAGTGAGGGAAAAGGTATTGTAGAGAGGCAGCTAGGTAGTGCAGTAGATAGAGCTCTGGCCTTGGAGTCAGAAGCACCTGACTTCAAATCAGGCCTCAGACATGTGACACTTACTAGCTGTGTGACCCTGGGTAAGTCACTTAACCCCGATTGCCTCACCAAAAAGGGGGGAAAAAGTATTGGAGAAGTCAATATGGGAGTAGGAGGCTAGGGCTTTGGTGCCATAGGAAGTGGGAGGGGGAGGTCAAAAAAGCCAGTAATGAGATCTAGGGAGTCAGTTTAATACTGAGGCCAAAACGGGCAGTTGGAGGAAATCAGTGCTTGAAGGATTGAGAGTCGTACTAGGAACTGGTCAGTGCTATTAAGATTAAGGATTCTCTTAAGGATGCCGATTTAGGCATCCTTTCTTTTAATGTGGCAATGGGAAATGTATTCTCCAGTGGTAGTAAGGGAAAACTCTTTTCTCTGACTATTTAAGTTACTTTCCTAAGTATGCTTGATCGGGAGGGAAAGATGCTGAGTGGAATATGCAAAGAGGATTTTAGTTTTAAGAAACTAGTGTTAGGGTCCAATTAGGAGTAATTTAGAGGGTCATTGTCGGGGAAATAGATGCATCTGCACTAACACTTTCTTTTCTGATTTGCTCTTTTGTTATATACAGTTTTAACTGGATCTGCTAACTAAATATTGAGTGTATCTGTACCTGAACTAGGCAACTGAATGACTGACTTTGCTTCTTTTGACTTTTGGAGTCATGGGACCCACCCAGATCCCTGGGGCCCTGTATTTACCCAGGTTATAGTGGGTAGTCACATAAAAGGACGTGGTGGAAAAGATATGTATTTTTCAGGTTAGGTAGTCCAGCAATGTATACAACGTATAAGAAAAGGTATGCCCAGACCTGTGTATACAAATTGTGTGTGTGTCTGTCCCTGTTTCTGTGTTCCGTTTAGGCATTCAGCAGACATTCAACAAATGTATCTTTCAGGGTACTAACATCCAGGGTGCACTTCCTCCCCCATACCTCCCTCACAAAGGCCTCTTTCTCTCTCCCTCTCCCTCTCTCTCTCTCTCTCTCTCTCTCTCTCTCTCTCTCTCTCTCTCTTTCTCTCTCTCTCTTATGTATCTATCTATCTAGAGAAAGGGAACAAGGAAATGTCTTTCTCTTTCATACCCTTAATTTTCATCATCCTCATTGCCCCAGAGAAAGCAAGAGAAATAGATCGTGGAGTGATGTCTGCTGGAGGGAGAGGAGAAAGGAAAGAGGGTTGGGCACTAGCCCAAAAATTGAGGGCCATTTGTATGTACAGAAAATTGATCCTACTTTGCTCCTACAGAAAGTCAGCCCTGGACACATGATATGACAGTAGTGGCTGGTGATACAGTACAACTCAAATGCCAAGTGAAAGACCCTGATTCCTCATCCCTACAGTGGTCGAACCCTGCTCAGCAAACTCTCTACTTTGGGGAAAAGAGAGGTACTATCTTCTAGGTCATCATGCCCTTGGGTAAGGTGGGGATGGAAGGTGATTTTTAGAGATCAGAGAAGAAGAGAAGTGGAGTAAGGCATTTCTGGGGGCCCCTAAACAAAAGTGAGCCAATACTTTTTTTTGAAGAACACCTATTCTCATTCTAGAGAAGCTTTAGGATTGTAAGTCTGGCCTGGAATAGCCTATGGCTCTGGAGTTGTCTCACTTTTCAGATGACTCTGAAACAAATTAAATTGGCTTTCCAGGATCTGCTCAGGAATCCAGAATTGAACAAGATCCCACCAAGTTCACTCTGACTTCTGGTTTCAGCCTTTGCTTGAATAATTTTCAAGCCATCATATATGTCTTGATCTTAGAAGAGAAATTGAAGACTCCTTAAAAAAAATAGCTCAAGGGCAACACCTTCCCTTCTCCATCCTCATCTTTTCTCCCAATGATGAGAAGGCACAACTAGAAAAGAAAAATAGACATGGAAAGTGCTAAGAGTACAATTTGAGATGGGGGGGGTAAGGGGGTAGAGGACATGGCTTTCAACCATTCTGTTTTTCCGTAGCACTTCGAGACAATAGGATCCAACTGGTGCGCTCCACTCCCAACGAACTGACCATCAGTATCAGCAAGGTGGCCCTGGCAGATGAGGGCGAGTATACCTGCTCCATCTTCACCATGCCTGTGCGCACTGCCAAGTCTCTCGTCACTGTGCTTGGTGAGGAGCCCAAATCCCAGTCTTCCCAGTGTATGTTCCCCCTAGATTATAGGCTCTCCCTTCCAGTTCTCTAGCCCTATGAAGCTTTTCCCTTACCCATCCTTCCCTCTCTGTCTTGTATTTGTTTAGTACTTTCACATACATTGTATCACTAGATCTTTACAGCAACCCTTTGGGATAGGCAAGGCAAATTCTATTAATTCCCGTTAGACAGATTGGAACACTAAGGCACAAAGAAAATAAGTGAGTCACTCAAGGATACGTAGATGCTTAGTGGTGGAACAGGGACTAGAATTTAGGCCTTTTCATTCTCATCTTAGTGTTCATACTACAAGAGCAGTGGTTCAAATGCAAGGACCACTTAGGTGATGACCAAAATTTAAAAAAAAAATGTGGTATGCAGAGATTTAACCAGGGCAATATTTTGTACCAGGGCACTGATATTCAGGAAATATTTTCTCCCCTACTGTTTCCAGTAGTCCTCCATCCTAATATGCCTGGGTCTGTCAGTCAACAAGTATTTAATACATGCTTTTTCACTGACTGACTGACTGTCTCATGGTCCTCCAATAGCCTGTGCTATGTGGTATGATTCCCCCTGTTTAATCTCTGTACCTAGTAGGGTGGTGATACTATAGCACCCCTCTCTCAAAGATCACCTATCCCTATTTGCCACCTCTCATCCCTCATCTCCCCAGTTTGTCAGCAAGCATTTATTAAGGTGTTACTATGTTCCAGGTACTGTGCTAAGCACAAAGGATATTTAAAAAAGGCAAAAATATGGTCCCTGCCCTGAAGGAGCTCACATTCTAATGAAGAAAGGCAACAATACAAATAATTATGTTGAAGGGATTGGAGATTATTGGTTACATTGAAAAGACCTGGGCTGAACTCTGTGAAGGATAGGCTGCCCCCTTTTCTGGCATTACTGTAACCTGGAGTAGACCATCTGGGATTTAAAGTCCCCAGAGGAATTTCTAGCTCTTCTTGCAGACAATTGAGATCAAGGTGCCTTTGATACCCTATGACTCTCCCCACACTGTTTTCTCCATTCCCAAATATTCTCCCATGCCAGGCCACACTTCCCTCATCCCACAGTAATTGAACTTGCCCAGGGCACATGACTCCCTTGTTATAGCTCTCCCTCCTTAATGCCCATTCCCACTTGCCATAGCAGAAATACTTTCCAAGGTTCCCTTGGGCCTACTCCACTTTCTGCTATCAGAATCTACTCAATTTGGGAAACAGGAGAAGGTAGAGGGAGGCTCAACCTTTACTCAGGCATCATTGATTTGAATGACATAATTTTTAGAAATAAAAAGGAATTTAGAAATCTTCTAATACAACCTCCTCCTTTTATAGATGAGGAAACTGGGCCCAGAGAAGTCATGTTACTTGCTCCAGAACATACACCTAGCTAGTTAGTAACAGAGTGGAGGCTAGAAAAAAGCCCAGATTTCTCACCTCTTAGGAGTTATTCTGTTAGAGGCTGATTCTCTAGGTTGCCAGCCTGGAGATATTGTTCTTTCTAGTAAAAGATTCGTGTTAGTGTTTTGGGAGAAAAAATCTGGATTGTTCAAAGAGAAGAATTCTGTGGAGTCATGCCTCCCTCTGGGCCAGACTGGCAGGCTCCCAAACTTTCTTAGTCCTTCCGCCCCTGGCTTTCTCTTATTGGGTAATGAGGCTATATGGCTGACTCTTCAGATGGATGGTATTACTCCCAGGTTGGTATTTATAATTTGGGGTTCAAAGGAGGACTCCTTAAGCCCACATGAGTGAGACAGCTTATCCAAGACTATCTTGGAATCATAGAATTCAAGAAGGAGAAGGTTATTAGAAGGTATAAAGTTAAAGAGTCACACACAGTTAGTGGCAGAACTGGGTCTTGTGACTCTAGTTCATTGATCTTTCCATTACACCACACTGCCTTTCAGTAGTAAGATCCCCAAGGACAGGAAGTGGCAGGGCTAGAAGTAGACTCATAGTGCCTCTCCTTCCTATCCTGGCCATACCCCCACCAATCTATGGCAGGAATCCCACAGAAGCCCCAAATCACTGGCTATGTGTCTGCAATCCCGGAGAAGGGGAAAGCCCACCTTACCTGTCTGTCGAAAGGGAGCAAGCCTGCTGCAGAGATCAGCTGGAGAAAGGGTGATCAGGAGCTGAAAGGTGAGTAGTCCTTCTCCCTACCATATGATGTTTGTATGTATGTGTGTAAGGGTGTATATGCATATGTGCAGGTGAAGTGATAGCTGTGTGCAAGTAGGAAGAAAAGGAAATAACAGATATGTTGTATGCTTATGCACAGATGTGTAGAATGATGTATGCTTGTGTGTGTGTGTGTTTGTGTGTGTGTGTGTGTGAATGTTGTAGTTCACTGTCTTCTGTACATGTGTATTTATGTGCATTTTCTGTACCATAGGGAAACCAAACATGGTTCAGGAGGATGACAATAAAACATTCACAGTGAGCAGTTCAGTAGAATTCCAGGTTTTCCGGGAAGATGATGGAGTTGATGTCACATGTTCTGTAAAGCATAAATCTCTGCAAGACATGGACAGGTCTACCTCTCAGCGGATCGAGGTCCTCTGTACGTCCTGGGTTTGGGAAGGTGGAGCAGGCCAGAGATAAGCAAGAGTAGAGTTGGGGAGAGGGCAGGGCAGCAATGCAAAGGACATGAACAATGGAAAAGTGGATAAGAGCAAGGGGAGAGGGATGGTGGGACAGCACCAGTGGAGAAATGGAGGACAGTACAGAGAAATTAGGTACAATAGAGAATGTAATATAGAGGGACAGGACTCAGGCTCATGAGGCATTCTAAAGTGGAAATCAAGATGTCAAAGGAAATTGGGACAAGGGTTGGGGGTGAGTCTCACAGAGGCTGTGTGGAATTTTGGGCTGACCTAGGTCGTGCTTCTACAGACACACCAACAGCAATGATTAAGCCATATCCCCAACATCCCCGGGAAGGCGAGAAGTTGATGCTACAGTGTGAAGGTCACGGCAATCCCATGTAAGAAGAACCAGTACCTCATCCCTCAGTCTCCGCATTATTTCCCACATTTACCCTGACTTGTAGGCCCCATCATCAGTCCACCAATTTCTCTGGCCTTGCTGGACAAGTCCCTTCAGCCTCCATGTTTTGTCTACAAGGGAGATAACAACAGAACAAAAGCTATGATTTTGGTTTTATTTCTGACTCTCCTAGGAGGCACTTACACCCATTATAGGACTTTTCAAGCTAACAATAATAATAATGCCCATCCATATATGTAAAAGTGCTTTGAGACTAGGAAGCACTTGACTCACAAACCTACCTGTGAGGGAGATGGTGAAAGTGTCCATCTTTCCTGCTCACCCTGACCCAAGAGTGCATGTAGGAGACCTTCTCCTTCCTTCAGGAGGAATGCTGCTCTCCTCACCTGGTGACTGCCTCCCTGTCTCTAGGCAGCTTTCAGAGCCCCAGCAGCTGCCACAGACCCTGAAAGCTGCTATGCCCATCACCCTTCTAGGGTTTTTATGAGGAGCAAATAAGATAATATTTGTAAAGCACTTAGCACAGTAGCTGGCACATAGTAAGCACTTACTAGATCAGGGGTGGGGAACCTGTGGCCTTAAGGCCACATGTGGTTTTCTAGGTCCTTAAGTGCAGCCTCATTCAGTCAAATGGATGCACTTAAGGACCTAGAAGGCCACATGTAGCCTTAAGGCCACAGGTTCCCCACCCGTGTACAAGATGCTTGTTTCCTCTCCTTTCTCCCCCCCATCACCAATCTCCCCAAAGCATCCTGAACCCCCTTCTCTATAGCAACTTGACTTCCCACTGCTCCCAGGCTCTTATTCCTACAGCTCCTCAACCTCCTCTTCCCTGCAGCCTTCTGATCTCTCTGCCTCCACAGCCCCCAGCAGTACGAGTGGGTGAAGACAGGCATCGAACCACCACTGCTGATGACCCATGACAGTGCCCTCATCTTTCCATTTCTCAACAAGAGTGACAGCGGCATCTACCAATGTACAGCCTCAAACAACATGGGCAGCCACATAGCCTACTACACCCTTGATGTCAGCGGTGAGCCCTCCTCCTTCCACCCCTTCTAACCCCCATTCTTAATTGGCTTACCTTAGCCCTAGTCTTCTTCTGCCCTACTTACCTCTCTGACTCCTCTCAGCCATTCTGATAACTGGCCTGAGAATGGAATCTAGGAAAGAGTTCAGGCGGCTCTGAGGGGGCTGAGAACTTAGGCTTCAGGTCTACTTGAGAGTGAGGAATACTAGGGAGGAGGGAAGAAACTGTCTGTGCCCCCCATCTGCTTGTTGGAATGAATGGTGGCTATTGCCTCCAACAGTGTTGGTTCTCATCCAATCCTTGTTCTTGTCAAGAAGGGCTATAATCCCATGGATAAAGCTCTCTAGGCCTCCCAAGGCAGCAGACAGCTGCCTTTTGCATATCAGAAGTCTATTCCCTCAAGCCAGTCCTGTTACTGGGCTTGGCAGTAGGAGTGTGAGGGTGCATGTTATGATCTTTTCCCTTCCTTGTAAGCTTTCCTGGGTCCAGGAAAGAGACAGGAGAAAAGCAGTCACAATGTAAAGGCACAGTCAATGTTACTACTGAAAAGCTATACCTTCCCTTCTTAGGACTATAACTTCCTCTTTCCTAGAGGTTCTGGCTTAAAGCTATGATTCTTGACTAAGGTGAGGCTTTGGGGAGGTTAACAGGCTACGGGAGTATCTCTAAGTGGGAAAGTTGCCAGAGGCTGCAGATCTGTGTAACTTTCCCTTCTCTGGCAGATCCAAATGGCAATGGAGCCCAGCCAAGTACCCTGCCTCAGCCATCTTCAGCATGTGAAGTCCCTGGGAGAATAGGAGTAGAGACAGGGGTGTTAAGATCTGGGGTACCCTCAGGGTATTAGAAGAACCCTCATCTGAACTATTTGTAAGAGGAGCTGGGAAATATTCACTACTGAGAGTTTTGAATTCTAGAGCATCTTGGGGTCAGAGCTTTCTTGACTACTCAAAAAGTCCCAAGACTTCCAGTCTCACAGGACCAGCTCAACCCTGAAAACAACATTACTGATAAGCCTACTGTATAACCTCAAGAACCAGGAAAACACAGTGAGATCCAATGAGGTCTCTGCCCAGGAAGCCTTAGTCCAACTTTGACAGTGCTTGGGCTTTAGAAGTTATCTCCCCAAAGTGGCTGTATCCATGAGGATAGCCTCCCACATCCACCCTCAGATCCCATGAATTGTCAAAGGGCCAGGATGAATATTGTTTGATTTAATCTGCCTCATCAGCTACACTGCAGCCTGGTGGTAGAATGGGTTATTACTTCCCCTTCTTGAAATGTCATTACTGATAGAGACTACTCTATCCAGAATTGAATTAGACTGAGTCCTGCTTGGAAACAAGAGAGTGAATAACATGACCTCTGAGACCCTTTCCAGTCATAGGAATTTATGATTCCCAAAGACAATTGCTACCTCCACTGGCTCCATAGGAATCTGAGGAACATTCAACCAGTAATACTTCCCATCTAATTACTGTGGCCCTAAAGTATGCACCCTGGGAGATAGGCATCAGGGTATGGACTCCATAGAATCAATGTTGGACTATGTCCTAGAAATCACACTACATGAAATCCCCAGTACCATGTCCTCTCTCACCAGCAGAGAATAAAGAGAAAGAATGTAGACATTTTATCTTCCCAGGATGCACTGATAGACAAGAAAATAAAAAAGCTTGGCCCAGCTAGACCTGAGGTAGTACTAAATCTGCTCTTGATTACATCCAGTTTGGGGAAACATCAGACCTATCTAGGTCCTGGGCCTTCTTACTTTATCTTTCCTGGGTACTTTATCTCCAGGGATGGTACCATCTCTGCCAACCAACTCACCCAGCCTGTGCTCAGGAGAACTGTCTCCCGTGTTTTCAAGGCAGGTGCCCATTTCTGGAGAGAAACTAGTTACTGTTTGACTACCCCACTAGCCAAAAAGAAGAAAAAAATCTTCTGGTTTATCTCAAGGTGTGTGTGTGTGGAGTTCTGAGCCTTCAATTTCAGTCATACTGGAGCAAGACTTTAAGACTGTCCTGTCACAAAGTAACAGCAGCCTTCCTTTTGGGGGACTCAATACCTACTCCCTTTTCCCACTTTATTTCCCCCCAGGGGTCTTCTCTCCCTGCCACATCAATTTGCTATCCTTTCCTTACCTGTCAGGTTCTGAACTGTAGGTCAATAAGTTAGTAGTCATCTAGAGGAATCAGCCTAGATCTGAGAAAAATAATCAAGGGCAACAAGAATCAGAGAAGATGAAAACCCCTGGGAAGACAGCAGTAAGAAAAGAAAAAGGCAGGGCAATGCTCAAAGACAGAACCCTTAACCAAAGGGCCCTAACACAATGTATATTATACTAGGCCAGATATATTGAACCTAAGCCCCTTACATAACTCCTGACCCAGGCCTTTTGACTAGGCCTCATCATGCCCAACCCAAGAGTTTCTTAGGGAGCAGTGGGGGCTTTGGTGAGGTCTTACCATGCTGCATCTCCCACTCTTAGACCACAGCCCAGTGATCTCAACTTCCAGCACCTACCATGCTGTCATTGGGGGGATTGTGGCCTTCATCGTCTTCCTGCTGCTCATCCTGCTCATCATCCTGGGCCACTACCTGATCCGGCACAAAGGTTAGGGGGTAGAACAGACCTAAGGGAGCCAAAGGGAGAGAGGATAAGCCAGGTCAAGGGGCAGGGACGGAGGGAGGGTCAGCTGAGGCTACAGCTCCCACGTGACTTCGAGAAAGGGAAGAGCGGTTCATTGCCAGCACCATCCCTGACAACCCTAGAAATAGAGTCTGATAATTTGGTGCTGATCATCCAAATAAAACAAAACCTGCCCACTCAGCCAGCTGCTGTTCCCATGCTTTTCTTACTTTTAGGGTCCTACCATACACTGCCAGCCACAAACTCTACATTTTTCATCCCCATCCTAATTCCCTTCATATCCTTCCATGACCAGTTCTCTTCTTTCCCCTCTTCTCTCTAACCCAGTCTTTCCTTTTTTATCTTCTCTCATCTTGTAGCCATAGCTATATCTCTTTTCTCCCTGTCTCTTTATGCTTAGCTTGTTTTTCACTTTTCTTTCAATTTCCCTACGACTCCAATCTTCCCCAAATGTTACCTCTAACCAGTAGCTTGATTGTAAAGGCAGATCAAATGTCAGCCCTAATGCCCATGGGAATTGAATATAGTTAGCCCACCCTATCCCCAAACAGGCTTCTTAAGTCTCTCTCTATATATACATGCATAGCATTGGGGCCGCTGAAGGCAAGAGGTAAAAAAGGAACCCTAGGTAGGAAAGCTTGGGTAGGGAATATAGGGGAGGTTGGGGAGGGAGGGGGAGAAGATCTGTGGCCTGTGGTGGAGGGAAGGGAAGGGGAAGCCTGGCAAGGTAGAATGCCAGAGGCCAGGGACTGCTTCTGAGAGGAAGCCCTTGTCTCTGTCCAGGGACGTACCTGACACATGAGGCCAAAGGCTCAGATGACGCACCAGACGCGGACACGGCCATCATCAATGCAGAGGGCGGGCAGTCAGGCGGGGATGACAAGAAGGAGTACTTCATCTAGGGGTGTCTGCCCATCCGTCACGGCCCCCCCGGGGGGGGCCCACCCCAGGGCCTGCCGGGGCCGAGGCACCAACCCGGACTTGTACAGAGCGACCCCAGGGCCGCCCCCTCCCGCTTGCTCCCCAGCCCAGCCCGCCCCCCTGTACAGAATGTCTGCTTTGGGCCAGGTTTTGTACTCGGTTTGGAATGGGGAGGGGTGGGGCGGGAGGGGAAGAGAGGGTTGCCCTCGGCCCTTTCTGTGGCTTCTCTGCGTTTGGGTTTATTTTTTTATTTTTAACAATCCCAGAATCAAATTCGTGTCCAGGCTGGAGGGGGAAGGGGCCCTTTGGGTAGGGGAGAGCAGAAACTGAAGGGTTAAGAGAGGAAAAGCAAAGAAGTAAAGAATAGAGAGGTAAGAAGAAAGGAGAGATTAGGGTTGGTCCATTCTGGAGAACTGTCCATCCCTAGAGCAGAGAAGTTTTCTTAGTCTAATGTGGCAGGAGCCACATCTCCAGAAATGGGGTGCGTCAAGCTGTCTTGAGCTCCAGGTAAGGGTGTTGTTTTTTGTTTTTTGTTTTTCCTCAGATAGCTAGGAACCAGCTGGGCAGGAGTGAGAAGCAGAGGGCTCTGGGAACTTTGAGTTCTCAAGAGCATTGCCATCATGGTACTGGAGAGGCCAGCCTTTCTACTTAATCTTGGACCAATTCCCCCACCCCCATTCCCTTACAGGGAAGGAAAGGGGCTGGGAATTAGGAACAGATACTAGAGAAGGGGAACAGTCAGTGAGGCAGGGGTACAGTGCTTCAGACTGAGGTGCAAGCCAAGACTTGCAGAAAGGAAGAAGTCTACAGTGTAAGAGCAACTGAGGCTGACTTGCCACTCCCTTCCCCCTACCCTTAACTCCTAAGAGTTATATAATACCACATCACCTCCTCGGGTCCCCTTCCCCCTTCTTCAGAAGCAGCACAGCCAGGGGATTGGGGCATGACGGAAAAAGGAACAGGGAGGGCCAGGAAAGGACAGCAGGGCCTTCCTTTTATGTCAGCAGTGGGAGAAGAAATGCCCTGGGACCCAAACTTAGCCTACTTTCCCCTACAAAGGGGCCCCAACTCCTCTCCAAGGCACCAGACTGTTGCATGGCAACCCCCTCCTAGGCATTACAAAACAACAAGCCCTCCACTCCTGTGCCATCCCATGCCAAAGCCCCTTACCCCCAGCAGACCGATAGAACAACAGCATTTGCAAACAAAAAAACCTAGAAAGATCTTAACTGCATGGAGCTGTTCCCTGCCCAACACCCCAAGACAAAGAGAGTTTGGGAGGCCCAGGGTAAATGGTGACTGTGGGAAGGCATACAAAAGGGCTTTGGGAGGTTAGGGTACATGCCTCATCCTGGAATGATACCTGTACTAGTCTTAATCGTGCCACCCCCCAGTGCCCATCTGCCTCAAACAGAGGAATCTCAGGGTGGGTCTCTGCTCAGCACTTCCCCCCTTCCATCACCCTCACCCCCAGAGGACACACATACACAAACACACAAACACACACACACACACACACACACACACACCCATTCCCACCCCTCTCCTGCCACTGTCTGTGCCACAGTCCTTGCTATGCACACCCCAGGCTTCTCCTGGATACATACCCTCTAATAACCTCACTATCCACTCCCTTGCCTCCCTACCCCCACCCCTAGTCTGCTCAGTGGGTTGATGGGCCAGGAGGGTTGGGGATGAGGTCTCCTGTCTTTGCATCCCCCACCCTTTCTTCTCATCATCCATTTTGCCTCCTTGGCCCTGAGCTGGTTGCTATGGAGACAAGGCCTGCTCACACCCTGCCCCCCATCCCACCCTGCTCAGTCCCACTGCTTTAGGGCTCCTGGCCTGCCCCCAACTCAGGACCAGGAATCCTTTCGGCACTCTCCTCACTCTTCTCCCAGCCTGTGCCAGCTGCCCCAAGAAGAATGGTGGGGAGGAGGGGCATTTGCAACCTGGCAGGGAAACCCACCTCTCTCCCTCCCTGCTAAAGTGTTCTCCCTTCAGTTCAGGTAATGCCCTTCTGCATCTTCCCAACACTGGGCACAGCAGGCAGCCCCACACCCAGACCAGGGGCCCAATCCCCCTCCAACAGAAAGGGACCTGGGGACCCCACCCTGCTGGGCTCTCCATCCCTGGCATCCCCTTTCAGGACAAACAACTCTAACTCTTTCGAGCTGAACCACTCTGTCCATATACACAGAAGCCATATTTGTACGGGGGGGCGGGGGAGGGGGGGCCTGTCGTGCTGTGTGTGTCTGTCCAGGGAGGTGGGAGGGGAAGGGATGGGATGGGAGGGGATCGTGTATCTTTATAACCTTTCTAATTCTCCTGTGCTAATCTCAGAGGGGCTACCCCTCAATATATCTGGATTATCCGTGTCACTGGGATGTTTCATGTTTTGCTCATACTGTCCACATAGGTGGGGGGAGAAGAGGGGAGGGCAGGATAGAGCTCAGGACAATAACTCCCTCAGCAATAGAATAACTCTCAGAAGAAAGGGTCTATGTTGCTTGTCTTCTCTCATATCTGCTGAGTCCTTTTGCTCAACAGCAGAAATGGGGACTGGAGCTTCTTCACAGTTCCCCATCCCCAAACATAGGAATTCTGGGAGAGGTTTTGAAAGAGGGCAAATAATATACTTTCTAGGGAGGGTGGCATAGCTAACGTTTAATAATAATAATATCCATATGGGACTTTAAGGTTTGCAAAGAATTTTACATACATTATCTCCTTTGATCCTTACAACAACCCTGTGAGGTAGGAATTATCATTACCCCTGTTTTGCCCAGGAGAAAACTGAGATTAAGTGATTTGAACAGTCACACAGCTATTAAGTGTTTGAGGCTGAATTTAAAACCAGATCTTCCTGACTCCAAGTCTAGCACTCTAGCCACTAGACTACCCAGCATGAGCTACGACTCCATGGGCTGACTTCTATAATTCTGTGATCTCTAGGACATCTGGGTAGAAAGACTGCATTAAAAACAAAAATCTCCCCCAACACTGTTAACTCTTCTTTAGTATAAGATGCCTTTCCCATAATTCATCTTATCATTCCACTGCCACTATTTTCTGTCTTAGATGGACATCCTAGGAGGGACCTAGGCAGAGACCCCAGGGTAGGACCTAAGCAGCTTTAACTAGGCCATGCCAAAAGCCCAGGACACTCCCTGAACATCTTTAAACTACTGCTCTTTCTATACCGAGCCCAATTGCTCATATCCTAGACTCCTCCAACCTTGAGCTCAGAGGTCTAACATAGTTGAAAAATTGGCCAAGTAGTCAAAATGAAGGAAAGGATGAAGAAACTGAGACCGACGTGGGATTGGAACAGGTCCACCAAAAAGGAAAGTCATTTATTTGGAGGTGATGACCCACAGAGGAAGGATAGCATCTTCTCATGATTATCCATTGGCCTATATATTAGAGGTTGGATCACTGCATAGTAGACTGCATAACCCCAAGTGCCAGGCTAACAGGAAAAGTTTCTCTCACCTCAAGCCTCTGCTGTGACATCCCCCAACTAGACATCCCAGGGGAAATAATACCACAGACTCCCAGAAGAATGGAAAATTGCCTCCAAGGGTAGCCTTCTGGCCTGTCATCCCCCTAATCCCTTCCCACTCACACATTGAACAAACACAGTCAGAAAGAACCATGCTAACACTCAGACACCCACCTCTGGTGACACATACCACTCAAAGTGATACACAGGGACACACCCACACATCGGTACACTCACATCCAGCTGTCTCAGGATAGGCAACAGTGCAATATACTGAGACTGGTATCTAGAAAACCTACACACTCCACATATACAGTACTGTTGATATAATCACACACATCCCACCACAGGCTACCACTAACAGCCTCTCTTGTTCACAAGGAGCTCTTGGTGCTCCCAGGTTTTTCCTAGAACCCAGCCTGAAAAAGCCGGAGTGACAGAGGACATCACTAGGCACCCTTCCTCCTCCATTTCCCAGAGCCCTTGGTGTCTCTATTTTTCTCACCTAACCAGTCTTATCCTTGTGGAAAGTCCCAGCTTCTTTGCCCTTCCACGCACCTCTAAGAGAATTGCCACTTTCCAGCCCCCACCCCTTTCCTTCCCCTATTGAAGTCCAAAGCCAATATTGGCCCCCAAAGCAGGAAGCTTTAGGTGTAGTAATACACTTCCTGAAGATTCTGCAGCTTACTCCCACCCTCTCCTGACTCCGCCCTATAGTCCTACCCTGGGGCATAAAGTTTCTCATTAGCCCTTAGTTCTTATCTTGGAGGCTCAGACACCAACACAGGCATCTCTGTCCTTGGCCCACCCTGCCTGCCCTGAGCTCAGCCCAGAACCATGGGGAACTGTTTGCATCGGGTGAGTGTGTGGGCCAAGACTCAAAGATCCCTCAGCCCATGTTTTCTTGCTTCTCAATTTTAACACTTACTCCCGTCTTTTCTCCTCTCTTCTCCTTATTTTGGCTCATCTTTACCCTACTTATTCTTTGCTTCTTTTTTCCTCTCAGGCCTCCTTACCTTATTTCTCATCCTTCCTTCATTATTAGCCTTTTCTCCTAACTGCTTACTTTTTCCTCTTTAGTTTTTGCCTCTTCTTTTTTCCCTCATCTCAACCTTCACCTCCTTCTCTCTTCATCCCTTCTAATCATTCCCTCCTCAACCACTTACACCTCACTCCCTTGTCTTCTCATACCTTCCCATCTTATCTCTCACTTCTTTCCTCTTCAATTCTTTCTCACATTTCCTTTCTTAAACACTCATTCTTATCTTTTGCCTCTCTCCAATCACTCCACACTCATCATACATTTTCCTTCTCATCACTTACCTCCCTTTACCCTTTCTACTCTTCTCAGCTTCAAAGCCCTGGATACCTCATTAATATCTCATTCTTTATCTACACTTTGAACTGAACCCCATCCTCATTCTCTTTACTCTTTGACAGACCCCAATCCCTTGGAACTTATTCTCCCCTCCCAATTTTCTCTATTATGGCTCCTGATTTTCTTACTGGTCCTTACTCCCTTTGTCTCATTTTCTTGCCACCTTCTCTGATTTCTCACTCTACCCATCTCCTTCACTCTCTTAATCCCAGACCTCCCACCCCAACCCTGGTTCTCCCTCTCCCCTACACACTTTCTTCTACATAACATGGGTGGGAGGAGGGAATGAAAAGGTTCTCTGAGTGGCCCCTTGTGGTATGTTTCCCAGACAGAATCCGGGCTTCAGAACTCCGAAAACTGGACCATCGATGGTTTGGATGACGAGTGGGACACTCTGTGGAATGAGACTTACAACTATACTGATGCTGACCTGGACTTGGCTGCTCCTTGCCGTTCCTGTACCCTGTTAGATAGCTCCTCACTGCCCTTTTTTGCTCTTACTAGTGCCTTGGGCATACTAGGTGGTGGGGCATTGCTCTTTGTCCTCCTCAAACCCCTTGCCTGCTGGCACTCATGCCCAGGCCGGATCATTCTGGCACAGCTGGCTGGGGGCAGTACCCTCTTCAGTGTTGTTTTGCCCATCCTGGCACCAGGGTTGAACCCTAGCCCACACATCGCCCTCTGTTGCCTGGGACATGGGCTCTGGTATGCCTCAGCTTTTGCCCAGGCTCTGCTGGTGTGTGTACATGCCTACCTAGGTCCTGAACTGTGCCAAAGCTGGCTCCCCAAGCTCTCACTGGCTCTGTGGGGAGTTGCTCTGCTGATGGCCTTGCCTGTCGCCCTGGCTAGTAATGTTACCTCTGGACTCTGCACCTTCTTATTCAGCCATGACGTGTGGGTTTGGTATGTGATCCATATCGTGGTCTGCATTGCTGTTTTCCTCATTTTGCCCCTGAGCCTAGTTGGGGGATGGATAGTACAGAGGGTAGGAGGTGGAGGGCCAAGGCCAAGGGCTAATGCCCTGTGGGCCTGGTTCCTATTCTGGTGGCTCCATGCAGTGATGATGGGGTTTGATGCCCTAGTAAGGTCAGAAGCCTTGGTGATAAATAAGTGTTCTGTCCAGCAGACCCTCGATTTCTTATTAGAATCTGCAAAGATCTTGGGGATATTGCATTGCCTAGCCACTCCATTCCTGCTGGCACTGTTTTGTCACGGTGTCACCTGGCCCCCCACCATCAACCTACTCTAGAACTTCCTTTCCCCCACCCCTCAATCCTCCCGGCCTTATCCTGACATCTGGGCATCATAGAAGGCAAGTCCCAGTTTTCCCTGCTGCCAATTGACATTAAAGTTTGTGCTGCTATAAAGCTGATAGTTTCTTATTTGGCCAGGGTGGTGGGCCCAATTCTACCTTAGGCACTCCTACCAGCACCTATCTCCCCAGCTGGTACCAATCAGATGAGCCTGGGAGTATGGAGAAGAGGAAGAGTCACCATCCACGAGTTCTCAGGACAGATACTACCCCAGAAGCAGTACAGATGGACACTAAAGGTTCCCTTGAGGTCTGGGATCATTGCCTTAAGGCTTAAGAAGAGAGAGCAGGGGAAGAATTCCGAAGGGTACTGGTTTGGTAGGTGAGATAGAAAATGTCTAGGTTGCTGGAGAACCCTGACGGAATAGATATTGAATGGGGAAGCTTCAGTGAAGAGGAATGGTGTGGCAATGAACCTCAAGACTTCACTGATTCTCCTTTAAATGAGCTCTTCTATTCCTTTTGCTCCTTTCAGGTACCTCTTCTTTCTTTCCCATTTTTTCTACCCCGAATCAAGAAAGGAATATTAGGGACCCCACAAGACTTCATCCCCATTAGGCTACCTCCTCACCTTGTTCTAGAGTAAATGCATTGATTCCACCCCAAGAGTTCCTGATTTGGTTACAGATCTCCTAGGTTAAATTCTCAGTTTCCCTGAATTGCCAGGCAAAAAACCCTTCCTACTAATAGCTCACAGCAATTTTAAAGCTGAAAGTCACGTTAGAGGTGATTATTAATGCCTCCTTCCTTGCTCAAGTCACTGTGCGTGTGTGTTTGTGCGTGCTAAATTATGTTTTTTGTGTCCATTTCAAATTCCTTATTATGTCTCCTCAAACCAAGTTCCTTCCTCTCTTTCCTCTCCTTAATTCTAACTTCTCCTCTTTCTTCTTAGGAGGTGGGGATATGACTCACTCTTCACCTCCTTTCACTTTTCCTCCCTCCCTGGTTTCCTTGACCTACCCTCTCTGGGAAGGATAGTGGATATGGGGGGGGGGGGGAGAAAGCTGGAAGGATCCCAAGGAGGAAACTACTAGGTATGTGACCTAGTGGAGGTTAGTTTATGACCCATCCTCTAACTGGAATTGTCTAAATTTCCCTCCACATATCCAAGGTCCTGGGGCCAACCCTTCACATATTAGTTATTCTTTTTCTCCAGTCTTCGATATCCTAAAGCCTCCTCCCTGCTTACTCTTGGCCCACTAGCCTCTTGCCCACGTCTGAACACACACCCAGAACAAGAAATTTTTAGGCCGAAATTCCCCTCCCAAAGGGGGAGCACCATGGAACCCAGAGACTGGTAAGCCAGATAAGCCCGTCCTCACCCACCTCCACCAACAAACACTACGGAAGAAAGCTAAAGGATCCGTCCACTGAACTCTAACAAGCCTAAAAGCTGCAGAACAGGACGTCTTCTGCCAACACCTGACAGGACCCAGATGTACTCATGTCTTCAGATATGCTCTACTTGGCTTTACTTCCCAAGTGGGCTATTTCTTTGTGGACTGGGGTAGGGGCAGGGGTGGACTGAAGAATACCAGGTTCAGAGAGTTTGGAGTGGGGGTGGAGAGTGATGTAATTTCCAAATCCCCCACCTTCTGTTGCTTAGCAACAACCAGACTACCCCCTGATTGGTTGTTAATAAATTGAAGGGAGGGACTGAGTGGCCAAAGGAAACCAGGAAGACATTCTGGAGCCCAAGGAAGGGGGTGGGGGTGGAGAAGATATCTCAGAAGAGGAAGAGACAGGTGGGGCTCAGGCTGTGAAGAGGTCCCGCACCTGCCCTATACTTGTATCCTATTGTCTCCACCTCCTCCCTTTGATCCCTCCCTCCTTACCACTGTCCACCCAAGCCTTCCACCTCCCTCCAGCATCTCCTCAGCCCCTGTCCCTCTCCCATTAGTAGACCCTCGATTTTAGAATGCAATCTGATGGATTCGAAGTCTGACCTAGTTAAACTAGAAGTCGTGATGGGGAGACACGTGGCTAGTGGGATTGCATTTTTCTATTATTAATTACTCTTGCATTTAGGTAGAGTATTGTCCAGCCTCCACTGCTCCTGTTGTAATTCTGCATCATTTCTTTGGGGTTTTCCTTAGCATACCAAGATCCTATTTACTGCTACAGCTCACAGTGCACCACCAAATGCTGAAACTTAGTTTTGAGCCCCACTGCTCCCTTGAAACTTTTCTGAATTTCCCTTAGAGAGACAGATGGTATATAAGCCACTAGACTTGCAGTTTGCAAGACCTGGTTTAAAAACCCACCCAAAATACTACCTGCATGATACTGCACAAATCATTTAGCCCCTCTGAGCCCCCAGTTTTCTTAGCAAGATTGTTACAAGGATCAAATGAGGTAATGATGCATTTAAAGTTCTTGCATACATGTAACCTATTATTATTGCAAGGGTCTACTTCTTAGGGCGTTTAAGAATAAGAAATCTTAGAGTTTGAAGGGACTTTAGCTGATCACTGTCATCCTGAGATTTCTGGTGAAAGAGAAATTTTCTCAGAGAAATAAGAACAGGGAAAGAGCAGTCTAGGACTTGGAAGAAGAAGGAGGCTCCTAGGAAAGTCACTGTGCTATCTCCCCTTCCTGGAGAGATGTTTATGACAGAATCCTTCTGGGTTTTATCATAGATATTCAAATATATTTTGGGGGTGGGAAATCTTTATGTTTTACATATTTATTATTGAGTCATTTCAGTTACATCCAACTCTTCATGACCCCATTTGGGGTTTTCTTGGCAAAGATAATGGAGTGGTTTGCTGTTTATTTCTCCAACTCATTTTACAGATGAGGAAACTGAGGCAAACAGACTTAAGTAATTTGCCCAGGGTTACACAGATAGTAACTGTCTGAAGCTGGATTTGAACTCAGGTCCCCCTGACTCCAGGGCCTGTGCTCTATCTACTGCACCACCTTCTGTTTTACATATATTACCAAATAAATAGAGCACAATATCTGTGCTGGTAATCATGATGATGACCAGCTTTAAACATTATGTCAAAGGTCATCCCTTCTCATTCATCCCTACCCACCCCCAATCCACATCTAATTAGGGTTTCGAGGGTTTTCTGAAAGGATTTGGGAAATGGGTTGTTGGGCTCTCCCCTTTTATTACCCATCCCTGGTGCAAGACCTCCTTCCCCTCTAATCCCCCTTCTCCCACCACCACTGTCTGCATCCTTCTGATTGAGAACTTCGCTGGGATTTCAATTCCAATCTACTGCCAATTCTAATTGCCAGGGATTTGCATTAAAACCATCATGCTATCTAATTATTCTGACAATAGCCAGCTCGCTGTCTGGGCACAACAACCAGAGAATTGGGGTTTTAATTAACAATAATGCACCTTGCAAATGAGAAATGTGACTGTTTAGGTTAATTAACAAATCCCGGGTCCCTTCAAACAATCTCTGGTCTTAGTCCAGGTGATTTGGAGGGTGGATAGGGGGAGACATCAGCCCAGTGAAAATGCTCCTTAGTGTTCTTCACCTTTTTTTCCTCTTTTTTCTTTTTTTTTTTGTAAATAAATACTTGGCAAGCTGGTGGGAGAAAAGTCAAAGAGTCAAGAGCCTGGGGAAATTTGATTAGCAGAGCTTCTTGAGCTGATATCCAGAGTTGCTCATATCTGGTGTCTTTATGTCCAGGCTGGAAATATAGGGTCTGTTTTTAAGCTAAGTTGTATAAACAAGAGAGGAAGTAGGAAACAAGTCATTCTACTCACCCTCTAATTTTCAGACTGTTGCAATTCAAGATGCCCCTAAAGGTCCCTGCAGCTATTACTTTCCCCATTTCCTTCATTTAGCCCTCTCTGGATCTCTTCAAACCTTCCTCCAGGAAGCTTTCCCAGACTAACTCCACCCACTCTTGTTAGGTAATACTGGTATCCTCTATGCTGGCATAAGAAGTTCACATGTGTTTTGGTATCTATGTCTTGGCTTTCCTAACCGACCAGGAAATTCACAAGGGCAAGGACTATGTTTTCTCTTTTTAATCCTCTACCCAGTGTCAAACACAGTTTTCTAAATTTGGGGGAAGAGAGTATTTCAGGACTGTGAGAGGATGAATTGACTAAGCGGTGAATGCCCTGGCAGTCCTGTCCCACAGCCTGAAAAACATGGCATTAAATAGAGTTCTGGGGTTTCCTCTTAGTCTCACAGGCCCCTAAAAACTGAGGAGGATACATCAGAGACTTCGGAGAATCTGAAATGATAAAGCATTGAAAAACAGGGCCAAAGAGAAAATGTGAAAGGAGAGAGCCAAAGGAATCTAGAGAAAAGAAGCTTGGATTCTGGGGAGGAGAGTTAAGTACCCTTGGGTCATAGCTCTAAGTCTCTGAAAGGTCTTTGTGTAGGAAGGGAAGCTAGTATTCTACAAATCCACTGACAAGAAAAGAGGGAGCAGGTTGAAACTACAGCAAGGGGGATTTAGGTGAGACAACAGCTGAAACGGTGAAACTTGAAGGCTGGCTGGCAAGGGATATTGGCTCTGGGTGTCTCTCTGAGTTTAGGTTTATATAAATCCAGAGCCCTTGACCCAATATCCCTTAACTCAGGTGATTTGAAGCAAGAAAGATTGGGGGGATTTTGACACGGTACTTTGACTATCTATTTAACTTCATGATCTCCATTTTCTGATTTCTAAGATGAGGGACTTAAAATGATTTCCAAACCATCTGATCTGTGTTACAATGACTGAGATTGGGGGAAATTTTCAATACGTTCTGCAAGCATCATTTTGGGAAAGTCCAGTTTCTTTCCCCCAGGTAGCTTCCTAGGCCTTAGGTTACCTAGGGAGAGGTTAGGTTGGATTATCTCCATGGCCTAAAAGTGAAAGAATCATAAGGAATTTCATTAGGGTTCCAAGGCATGGAGAATGGTCTTCTATAGGCTGAGAACACAGTTAAACGTATTACTTATGCAAACACCATCATTCTCAAGAGGATGGTCTCCAGTTTAGACTACTCTATAAAAAGACTACCTTCTCTGGTTGGACACACCTGTAAAAAATCTAGTGCACAGTGGATAGAGCATCGGGCCTAGAATCAGG